GTGGCAAAAAGGTCATTCCAAAGCACTCTGCTCACTCTGCTCTGCAGAATGTAGCAGAATACCTGGGTGATAGATATTTTAAGTCCTCACAAAAACTCCATTTGGGTTAATTTTTTTAAGTCTTCAAATGTTGAACATACAAGTGATAAAATATGCTTACATATGAGAATCTTACAAGACAAAGTTCTGCTTTTAGGGTATATAATTAGAAGTGTGGAAGGAACAGAAAAATATTCTCCATGATAACTCATGTGGAAATGAACATGTAATTGGTACAATAACTGAGTCATGATACTACAGATGTGGTATCAACCTGGGGTCCACAAGACAGAAGTGTTCTCAAAAAGGAGGAGAGGGGCAGAAGAAGATTGTGGAACAGAAATCTGATTTTGAAGTTGGATGTTTCTGAGCAATTGGAGGGACCTGAAGCCTAAAAGAATGCTAAGGCTTAGAGATGTCAACACTATTAAAGCCACGTAGCTCACTGTGGACAGTGGTTTGCAGGGTGCCCTTGTGGAGATGAGATGAATTAAGTGATTGTTTTAAATTATCTATGCCAGAAGTGATGGGAACTGGATCCAGATAGTGGAAATCACAATAGGATAGGACAGAGGGGATCACGGAAGGTTTTGGAGCAAGTGGGAAGGGTAAGGAAGGAGGAAGAGTCAAAGGGGAGTGGTTGGGGTGCCTGCCTTCTGTGATTCAGATTTGGGCAGCCCAGAGAAACAGGTGCTGCCTCCAGCTGGGCCTGGGGCCCTACAGAAACAGGTCTGGAGGGGGAAATGAGTTTACATACATACATGCATGCATACATTCATACATGGATACATACACACGTACACACAGTTCTTGAGGAATTTGTTACATGTCCAAGTGGATATGTAGGATGAAAACATTTTGTCACTCGGAGGAGACCCATCGTGGGGTGGATTCACGTAGATGTGATAGCCCCTGTGTGGCAAAGTCAAGCTGGGCAGAGGCCAGTTTGGGGAAGATTGGGAAGTTAGTGTGTGAGTGGTGGTTGAAACCAAAAGAGGTGACAGTACTGCTCAGTGAGGGAATGGAGGGTGGAAAGAGCAATGGCTGCAGGACTTCCCCTAGCACAGCTGGGAAGCAATGATACCTAAAGGTGTCTGGAGTCTATGAGGGCATCAGTGGGTTGTTTACTAAATGTGATTGGCATAAAGGGGCAATAATGAATCCCTGGCTCATGCTGTACACACCATTCAGTTTTATGTCAATTAAAGCTTCAGATAATAAGTACCTTAGATGCAACAAGGATAATGATTTGTATAACATTGGAAAGAGAAAGACCTTTGGTCCAAAACTATATAAAAGTCAAAATTGGAAAATAGAGTTTAATACAAGTCAAACAAAAGCCTCAAAGGAAAGTAAGAAAGCTATTGGGAAATATATTTGTAAAATTAATCAAGAGTTAATACGAGTTAATAACAGAGAAGTTTGATGGGTGAGCCATGGTCAAATAACCTACATTTCCTGGTATGTGTATAAATTAAGTGGAGAGATCTTTTCTGATTTTATGCACATTTCTTACAATGGAAAAAGAAAAGAATATGCTTCTGTAATATTTCTTATCAGGTAATAGGAAAAGATTAATTACAGGAACAAGTAAATGATATAGTAAGCAGTTTACAAATAAAGCATTTCAAATTTTCAGGAAATCTATGAATACTTTTACTACATGATCAATGATTTACCACTGATTACCCAACCTTGGTATTGGTGAGAGTGTTGAGAAACATGTACAAGTTGACTATCTTAAATCCCTAGATCAGAAATCCAAATGCTTTAAAATCTAAAATTTGTTGAGTGTCACTAAAGTACAAGAGGGAAATTCACCTGATCTCGTCAGGTGAGGCCTGCCTTACCTAAGGCTCACAGTGATGGGTGTGTTGGGTGCCCCAGGATAGGTTTGTGATTGCAGGATGTGATATAATTCTCTCCTGTCTCCTGTCCAAAATAGAACAAACCATATAGGGACTGTAGTTTCTGGATTTAGCTTTACTTTTCTCAGATCATTTTTGTCATTAGCCTCAGAAGAAATGTCTAAAACCTCATGAATATTAGAGCCAGAATTCTCAAGGCTAAGGGAAAAACAAGTTGTTCTGTTTACACAGACTGTGATCACCCGTCCGATCACCTGGTTGACCAGACGTCTGTTCAAGTTGGTTTCTGCTAGGCTCGCTTTGTGGTGCCTCAGATTGAAGCCTGTTTGCATGTAAAGAAACAAGAACACTTGTTCTTCCCATTTAGCAATCCTAATAAAACAGAAAGGTTTATTGTCAGTTTTGAATTCTGTTAAATCACATATATAGGAACAATCTGAAGTCTTTTGTTTGGGCAAATGTCTGCTTATCTTGTTGGGCCTTTAGAATGCTTAGAAAAGATGAGCAGCAGATGGATTATATTTAAAAATTTAAGTATTGTGTAAGCAGGTCTAGGTGTTTACCCTGTCTTAAAAAAATTAGAAGGACCCCAATTCGTACCTGCCTTTGTATCTGTTTGATACTTGGTTCGTACCTTTAGGTGTTTGCCTTGGTACACTGTTGATCAAGATAGCCTACTTTTGAAAGCTCCTAAAATTCTGCAAAAATACCCTCTTCTCAAAAGAATAAGGGATTGGAGAGCATGGGGAGTAAATTCCTTTAGGATTTCTGTCCAAAGTGAGTAGAGAAGAGCTTCACCGGCTTCCTTAAGTATACTGGAAGGTTCTGTTCATGTATCAAGTATGGCTTGGTAAATAAAAAATATATACATTATAAGCATAAAATTATGCTGCCCGAATGGCTTTGCTTTAAATTTTCTAAGTAACTGTTAAAACAAAAGTCGTTCTCATGACTGTGCAGATTTTGGAGACTGCCGATGTCTCTCTATGCTGAGCACCCCCGTTATCCATTCCCCGACGCTCACTGCTTCCTTGGAAGTCTTGGTAGGTGACTTATGCCCTTGCTAGGTTTGTCAAGCCAGTTACCTGTTGCACATAATGTTTCCTGTCAATGGGAGCAGAGTGTTACAACTTGACTTTGAAGTCTCGTTAGATCCCAAATAGACCTTGTGTCTGTGCTGCAGTCAGGAAGGCTAAAGCCAAAAGAGATTTTATCCTTAGTCCTACTGCTAATTAGTAATGGAGCCAAGATGAGTGTCCCAAGTCTGGCAGCACTTGGTCCTGAGCTCCTCAGCTGCTGCTCCCTCCATCCCCTTCTTGCCACTTTTTTCCTGGCATTGCAGGAGAACAGGAGTCTCCATTCTAGAATAACTGAACTTGCTGCCAGGAGTTATACCATTTTAATAATGTTCAGTGATCCAGTGAGTATAGCTTGTGATTTGTTTTGATGTGGGTTTTGAGTTTTGGGGATCCTGTTTATTCTTTTATTCAGTTAGTTATTCCTACAACTGTGAAATTGTGTGACTTCAGCAAGTGGGGTTTTATGCAGTCCATGAATACATTTTCATCAGTAAAATTGGTGACATTGGGATTGACTAGGAAATAGTTCATTCCCCCAGAAAATGACTGAACCCTTTCAAATGCTTATGCCCTGTTCATGTTTTGGTGATGGTTGGTTATAAACTATTGGACATTTATTTTATGGGGTTGTGACAGCCTTTAGCAACCAAGAAGAAAGCATTCCATTTTCTTTGCTTTAAAAAGTATAAAAATTTTCATGAGTTCCAGCTATTAAGATGCTGAATCTCTTCCTTTATCAAGTCTTTGCATCTTGTCTGCCTTTTCGTATTTTCTATTTTGATCCTTTATTTCCCACAGGATAGTTTTAAAATTTCAGTATCAGCCAATGCAGTTAACTTCTAAAAGCTATTTTTATTTCTATTCCTTTTTATCGCATGTTCTCCTTGTTTTTATGGCTCTGCCATGTTTGTCTGAGGACACTATTTAGAGGATTTGAATTTTTGTTTTCCTTTTGAGTTTTCCACATTATCCATTTCCTCAGGGAGTAGTTTTTGTTTTCCTTTTGATTTCCTGTTCATTCTGAATTTCTTTTAATATTTTAGGCTTTGCTTTTCTGTTTTGTGATCCTTGATTTTCTGTGCGGCCTAAATTAAGCAAAAATAAATATGACCACAAGTTTTCAGTCAGAAAAGGAAGGAAGGACATGTTGACTGACAGGTTTCATTCTAGGAGGGTGGACAGAAATTCATTATGGTGTGGAATCTTTAACTGTCCAATGTCTGTGTTAGCTGTCATTATTCTCTCCGCACAATCCAAGTTCTGCAGGGAGAGGGCCTCTGTCCTGAGCCAGGAGTGGGAGCAACACATCCAGGTTGGTTTCTGTGAATACATCTTTGAGTCCTTCAGCCTCAGCCTCATATTTCATGGCCCCCTTCCTCATGCACTCAGAGAGAACTCAGTGGCACCATCTGCCAACTTATCCATTGTGGGTCAGCTAGACAAAGCCTTGCTTCCTCTCTTCTCCATATACCAATTAACATAGCCTCCACCATGTTCTTGGTATTTTTCTGAGAGCTTTGCGTGTATTTAATCACTTGATCCCCAAACTTAGAAAAACATAGTTTCTGTCTCCACTTTGCGATGAAAAAATGAGGCATAGAGATATTAAGGGCCACACTGTACGTAGCATAGAATATACCTGGGGTTACGTAAGAAGTGGTATATCTATTAAGACTAAAGTACCAATCTGTATCATTTAAACTTGTCAAAGTTTTAAGTTTATGAAATGCTTTTGTCCATTTTAGTAGTATGGTGTAGAGAGTGTATAAACATGTGTTTAGTTATAATCTTGAGTCAGAAGTACATCGTTTGTCCATTGACCGAGTGCCAAACACCTGAAGCAACATCTGTGTCCCGTTGTTGATGTTTTCTGAAGCCAAGGAAGCTTGGGTTGAGATAGAAATGAGCAACATGCTCCAGCATCTGTCAGTGCCATTTTCAGTATGCTGTACACAATGCGAGGTGTGTCTTCAGAGCAACTTGGACACAGTTTGAAATTCTTCTCCTAACCTAGGACTGACAGCACTGCACAGATGATGAGTATTTACTTATTCTGGAGACAACCATCTCAGATGGTAGACAGGAAAAGAATGAGGACTTCAAATTTCCGATGGCTGTTATCAAAATTTGTCCTTCTATATCTGATGGTTCAAGTAACAGGTAAGTGTTTTACACATAACAGAGACTGAACAAACCTAAGTTTTATTTCATTTTTGCTGTGTAACAGTGCTATTGGTTGACCTGTGCAGATTTTTACTGGCCAAAATCTGTCTCCTTAATCTTTTTTTCTATATACTTTTCAGTTTTCTTTTTACAAGGCCCTTAAAGACAAATCAGAATATTTCTTTACCTTCTAAAAAGAACAAAATGTAAGTTTCAATAGTATTTTTTTTAGGAACAATTGGGTTTTGACAAGGATGTAATCATTGATTTCTACCACCATAGATACAACCCAGACCCAGCACACAAAAAATTTTCACTGTATTATTTTCTGTCCCTCTCAGCACCATTCTAGACAACATTGTTCACTTTTCTGTCTCTAATTTTACCTTTTTACAGTGTTATAAAAATGTAATCTAAATATCTTTTTAAAGGATTACTTGTTGCCTTATTTAAATATGTTAAAGTGTTTATATATTACCTAGCTTACTAGGATAAAGAATATTATCCTTTTGCTGCCTCTTGGTTTTATTTTTATATCAGTATCATAATTAAATAGATCTCTGTCCTGCAAGCTCAGTGATTAAGTAACTTTATTTTTATGATTACTGCTGATTTCTAATATGTGCGCGTGTAGTAGTTTCTATCTTCTGTCTTATACTGTTATAATGTATTGCTACTGTTAATATCATGCTCACATATATAAAAATAAGAACAGCAATTAAGTCATGCAAAATAGAATGAAAGAGAAGAAAAAGTGAAAAAAATGAGAAAGAAATAAAAAAAAGGACCAAAAGGTCAGTAGAGATTTAAAAAAAAGCACCCAAACACATATACACCTAAAATAAAAATTATAAGAGGAAGAAAAAAAGATTAATAGAAAACAATTTTTTAATTAAAAATTTTTTTAAAAGATACCAAAAAAAAAAAGAGTTCCTTGATTTTTTTGGGAGGGGAGGGAAGGGGGGGGTGGATGGGAAGATCCTGTATCTCCCTTGTGTCCATAACCAGTCTCTTGGTGGAGTCTGGGGGGGGGGGGGGGTGGAGGGAGGCGGGTGATGGGAAGAGATGGGAAGGGGAAACAAAGGAGGAGGCAACAATGCTTGGTAAGAAATGTACTCATTATCTGGTCCACGTAATTGTAACCCCTCTGTATGGTATTTTCACAATAAAAAAAATAAGAAGAAAAAACTTTCCATAAATGTTTGTAGATTATGAGATAGATTTACCATACTGTAATTTTTCACCTCCTTTCTTTTCTTTTTTTTCTCTCTTTCTCTCCTGAATATCCTCCTTGCTTTTCATTTTCTGTGCCGGATACCTTTTTTCATCGTATAACTACTACCTCATGGATTGTGTTTGTGTGTTTTCTCCTCCCCTAGGAGCACTGCGTGATTTGAAGTGTACAACCAACAACTTGAAAGTATGGGACTGTTCTTGGAAAGCAGGCTTTGAATCAGTTATTGATGAAGTTTGTGTTGAAGATAGGTAATGACTTAATTAACTTAAAGCTACAGGTTCGGGGCTAGGAAGGTGGCTTAGTGGTAGAGCGCTTGCCTTGCATGCTCGAGGCCCTGGGTTTGATTCCTCAGCACCACATAAGCAAAAAGAAAAAAGCAGGAAGTGGCGCGCTGTGGCTCAAGTGGTAGAGCGCTAGCCTTGAGCTGAAGAGCTGAGGGACAGCGTCCAGGCCCAGAGTTCAGGCCCCACGACGGGACCAAAAAAAAAAAAAAAAAAGCTACAGGTTCATCTTTCAGTTTAGAATATAAAAATTCTATTTTAGGAATTGTTAAATTAACATTTTAATTCTTAATCTCTGTTCATTAAAAATTCTTGGTAGTATTTCAGTCAAGATAGAAATGAACCCTTTTCCTAGCCAAAACCTATTCTTTGTTGTTTTTTTTTTTTTTTTGGTGTACGGTCGTGGGGCCTGAACTCTGGGCCTGGGCGCTGTCCCTCAGCTCTTCAGCTCAAGGCTAGCACTCTACCAGTTGAGCCACAGCGCCACTTTCAGCTTAAAACCTATTCTTTGATTCTATGAATAGTTATGGAGCTGACCTGTGTTGTGCTGATCTGCTAGGAGTTTTCCTGGTCTACCCCACACTAGCACCTGCTTGTATCAGGCTGAAGTCTGGCTATTCTTAATAGAAATTGTCAGTAATATGGTATACCACACATACTCTGAGGGGAAAGGTCTGGAGGTGCCAGTTCTGAGCTGGCATTGGTATGCATGGTCATAGAAACTTGATTCTTTCTGTCATGCTACTCTGCCATCCTTAGGCTATAATCACATGGTTTGAGGTGGTACTCAAAGAACAACCATCAGACCTACATTCTAAAATCAAGCAGGAGAAAGATTGATGCTTTTCTTTAAGGTGATTTATAAGAAATCTCACATAATACCTCTATTTAGTTCTCATTGGCTAGAATTCAAGCAGTTAAATCTGACTGCATGTGAAATTGGCAAATACATTTTCCTATCTGGATGATAACAGTAGGTCCATGTTATCAAGCAGTATGGAGAAATGGACATGGGGAGGCAGGCAGCAAGCTCTGATACACCACCTTCCATTCTCAAGAAGTGTTGGGATGTGCTAGAAGTCCTTCTGCTTAAGAGTGCAGGTATTTGGGCTATATACTCAGCTGAGCAATTTTTGCTACTTTTCCCTAAAGGGAAAAGGATGCTAAATTGTTTAGCAATGCCCGAGGAGTTTCAGCAGGTTTTCCCCAGTCTCAGTTCACTAATGAATAATTGTCCTGATATAAATTGACACAATGTGTATTCCAATACAGACTTACTCATTTAATGTGTAATTTATTTAGCCTCATTCTCAGCATTGGTGCAATTTAGCAGTCAATACAACCTAGGTTATATTGCAGTAACAGTTTTCAAGTCCCAACTTCTTGTCCTGCATGGTGAAAATAAAGGGTTTTTCTTACTTGTCTTCTGGTGTCAGCTGGAATCTCTCTCTATTCTATGCTTCTTTCTAAGGGATCTAAGTGTTTTGATGTTAGTGACAGGAGAAAGGGAAGAGACAAAGCCTACACTGGCTTTTAGAACTTTCTTCCTGCACTATTTGATGTGACTTCCACTTAGATTTTTCTGGGCACATAAAGCCCCGTGCCTTGCTTCCATGGGGCAGAAGAAGACAGATTTACTGTGAATCTAGAAAAGGAGAAGAATCCTGAAGAATTTGGCAAGTATCATGCATGCTGGCTGTTGGTCACTCTGAGAGAAGTTTAATTTTGACTTCTCCAGAGTGCACAATAAAGAAGTAGTAACAATGCTGTGGTTACTTGCTGATGGAAGTTATATGTGTAGTGCAAAGGAGCAAAAACCAAGAAGTTTGGAGGCTCAGAGAGGCTGTCAGAGGAGAGAGGTACAGTGTGGACAAGACATAGTCAGCTTTAGCAACAACAACAAAAAAAGGACATCATGTCCTCACAAATGTTGAGCTCAGTGACTAGTACTAATGGAATAGTGTAATGTGGAGAATTCCTATAGCTGGTGATTGAAAGCCCCTCATCGCATGAGACGGAGAAGGAAGTGGCCAAGTGAGCCAGGTCCACGGTTTTAAGTGACCAATTAGGAGCAGACATGGCAGGGGCATACTGAGTGAGGGCTGGTATGAGATGACCAGAAGATCCCTTTGTACTAGTTAAAATTTTCATGAGAAGATGAAAGTGTAATAATAAAAATGAAAGAATGTAAGCATGATCCATAGAGATACAAAAGGCTTGGAACCAGAGAGGAAACCATTTGCCAATGAGATACTAGGTGGGAACTGGGAGCAATTTGAAAGCAAAATGCTGAGCAATTTTGTCCATGCAATCCTGGGGCCAAGGCTAAGCAGTGGTAAGGTTGAGACCGTGAGTGAAGGGGCCTCAGTGGCCAGCTTTGCATGTTTCGCAGGCATCCGCTGAGCTCCATTTTGGTATGAACTGGGAGCTGAAGGAAAAGAGCATGTGTGAGGTGAGACTCCACAGGGAAGTTGAGGTAGGGCTCACATGGCATACTGGAACACCACGTTCCTTGAAATGACCTTCTGTGCTTCCTCGCTGTACTTGTAGGGCAGTTTGGTTTACCACCACAGAGGCTTACCAACAGAGATTAATTACCATTAATCTCTCTTTTTTTTAGTATTAAAATGAAGTACAGCCCAGCATCTTTTTATATATAAAATAACAAGCTATTTCCAGTGGATTTCATGTGATCAGATTTTTATATGAAAATAGCACTTGCGCCGTGGTAGAGTGCTTGCCTAGCATGAATGAAGCCCTGGGTACAATTCCTCAGTACCATATAAACAGAAAAAGCCAGCAGAGGCATTGTGGCTCAAGTGGTAGAGTGCTAACCTTGAGCAAAAAGAAGCTCAGGGAAAGCATCCAAAAAAGCCCTGAGTTCAAGTCCCAACACTGGCACACACACACACACACACACACACACACACACAATAATATAAATATATATATATATATATATGTTTATATGATAACTAAGATTCCATTTCTTTCATTGCAGGTCTTATTCATGCCATCAAGTAGAGAAAACAAATATCAAAATCCCAGCTCTTCCACCTGGTGATCATATAATGACAGCAAAGTCTTCACATAGTCCTGCAAATTCACTAAGCAAATTCATACTAAATGAAAAGAATGTTTGTGAGTATCTGAAAAGTAAATTCATTGTTACAGATGTAGTGGTGGAGGTTTCTTTGGGAAACAAGGTCTCCTCTGTAGCCCAGGCTGGCCTTAAACTTATAGTCCTTCTCCCTCAGCTGCCTGAGTGCTATGTGTTTCAATGTGTTAAATATTCCCACATTTCATCGTTTAAGTTACTGCATTGTGATGACATCAGTTACTTGGAAGAAGAATCACACCCTGGGGAGTCCCTGGTTCTTTCTAGTCACACTGGCACCTGAGCTTTCCTCTCCCTGCCCATGTCAGCTACTTCTCATCTTCCTCAGCGAAAGCATCTCAGTGCATCTTGCTCTGTCTCTGTTGACTTCTTGGTATTGTTTAGCCTTTGATGCCACATGCATTAGATTATATACAACCCTAAGCATTTTACATAAATCTAGTGTATAATGCTTCTCAGCCAATGTTAGTAAAGTTTAATTTTAAGAACTTATTTTTAGATTCTAAGGTGGGCCCATTTATAACAGTTTACTCCCTCATTTTTCATAGCATATCCAGCTATCCTACCTCTGTAGACTCCTGAAGTCTTACACTTGCCATGACTTTATTTAATTAGCCCTAGTACTTCACGGGGAATGACCGGAGTGAGGAAATAAAAAGTGTGACTCTGAATTTCTTCTCCATGTGCTGTTACTTAAGGTGGAATCATGTAAGAGAGTGTTAGTCTCTCTGCGAGCCTGCATTTCATAGAATGGATCATGCTTCTCCTTTGCCAGTGATCCAAAATTTTCCATAATTGACCCACTCTCCTTATGAATGAGGAGATGTGATGTTTTTTCAAGAATGTGGTGTTCTTTCTGCATCCTCTGTTCAGTGAACTGGTTTGTCCCTATACATGCCCAAATTGTGTGTGCTTTGTCTTCCTGCCTTCTGTAACCCTCAGAGGCGTCTTTCTCAAATGCTGATAGCTCAGTGCTTTTGACCAGGGCCGTGGTCTCTCCTTAGTCCTTCTCTGTGATCTCTGTTATTTGAACCCAATGATGAATCTGTTTCTTCTTAGCTCAGTGATCCTAAATTCACTCTGGTTTCCTTCTGCTTCTACATCATTCATTGCCTCGCTGGATTCTTACTGGTGTGCTTGATTCCTTTAAGATGTAATTATTTCTCAGCATCCCTTAAAGTAAACTTTGGCTGCTTTATTTCTCTGTTTACATTCTTGTCTTCTGCTCCACTCAGCAAGACACTCCAAGTCTGTGTCCACGGTTCTGACCCATTACAGTTCTGACTCATTACTGCTCTCTCCGATCTGGCTGCAGAGCACTCCACTCTCCTTGCCTCCTCTTCCCCAGTGCCTGGTTGCCCACAGTCCACCTCTGCACCCTCTGCACAGTGGCCCGAATGCCTGTTGCCTTCCTTGCCACTTTCTGGGGTGGAACCTTGGGAGAAATCTTGGTAATTTCTCATTCTCAGTAGAGTGAAGCCCTCCTTTCTCTCTCTCTCTTTTATGTCCAACTGATTTTCATCCATTCTATTTCCTTTTTGGTGTTATTAAGCATAGCCTCTCACTCTAACCAGGACTTCTCCATTGGTCTCTGAACTGATCATCTTGAACTTGGTCTCTTTATCCCAGAGTCTCCTGCAGACTGTTACAAAGCACTGCTGAGCTAACCTTTAGGAAGTCCTTCCTATTTCCTGCACTTCTTCACAATAACCCACTCAACACCTTCGTCCTTAGGACAGTGTTTCTGCTACATAATAATGTCCATAACAAATACAGGTCAGAGTACCTCCTGTGGAGTGGCATGAAGGACTCTGATACTGGAGGTGAGTGAGAGGACCGTGAGGAAGCATATAGAAATCTTTCCAAAGCAAGCATTCCTTATCTCTCATTTTCTTAGGCCTGACTGACTGCCATATAAAGGAAATATTTTATGTGTACTTGTTTGTAGGTCCTAGACCAGAGACCAGTAGCGTATTGTAGGAGCCCCATTTCTGTTTTAGAAAACAATCATTGCTTGTTTGTCCAGTTAATCATTAGGAATTGCCCATAGAAATTAATTTATATATTTGTTTCTTTTTTCCATACTAGCTTTGAGAAGTTGCTTTTAGTTTCTGATTATTTTTTATTTGGACCAAAAGTTAAAAACAGTGTTAATAAAAGTAGTATGAAAAATTATTACTTACTAAAACGAACTTTTTTGTTTCCTTGTTCTTTTTAAGCCTTCATTCCAGATACTCCAGAGATCTTGAATTTTTCTGCTGATTTTCCAACTTCTACATTATTCCTAGAGTGGAATGATAAGGGCTCTGCTTTTCCATATCACGTGAATGTCACCTGGGAAATTAAAATTCTACGTACAGAACGTAGGGAGCTCATAAAATTAGTAAGTTTGAACAAAAATAAGACGTGTTCCTTTTATAACATGTAGAAATAAAAGTTTAAGAAATACTTTTTTTTAATGGAACTGGATTTTGAACTCAGCTTCTTACTTGCTAGTCTTGTGTTCTATCACTTGAGCCATGATTTTCATCCTGCTTTTTGCTGGTTAAACTTAGAGATGGAGTCCAGCAAGCCTTACTGTGTAAGCTGGCCTCCAACTACAATCTATCCTCCTAAGTAGCGAGGATAACAAGCATGAGCAACTGATAGTAGGCTTAAAAATGCTTTCAGGGTGATATTAATGGAGTTTTGAGTTAAAAACCATGAGTTAAAACCATGTGCAATGGTTCCAAAATCATTTGTATAACAACTAAAGGAAATTAAGGGCATAATACTCCCTGATTGTACCACTTGAACACAGTAAATGTCATTTTGGTGTACTCCAGTCTAGTCTTTTTGGTATAAATCTCTTTACAAATTAAAGTATACTTTTTATTATTTGTTTAATATTGTACATAAAATCGTTTAATTATATTTAACTATAATTTTTGAGAAATTCATAAGCTCAAATTCACTAGAATCTAAAATATTGTTATATTTAATACATGTTTTTTATAGTTCATATTTTAAAGTCCTGTTTATGAATGCTTTTCTTATGATCTGCGTATTGTTTGATTTTGACCTAAGGGGGAATGAGGAAAAGTTTGCAGGTGGTAAATAGATACTGAAATAGGAGGAATACTCTGAAATATAAGTGAAATTAAACATAAATGAAAGCAATTCTAAAATTATATACCTCCTTACCATGAGAGACATAGGAAATCAGTAGTGAAAAGGTAGTCATTTCCTACTTGAGGAGAAAACTTTATATGAGAAAAATGGCAAGGTCCAAGGGAAATGTAAAAAGAAACAATTAATTTAAATAGTGAAATAGGAGAGGGGAAATGCCCCAGGGTCATAGTAAAATGTGACCTTTCACTTACAATGATGTATTATTATTGGGGTTTGAGAGCGAAGGGAGTCCCTGGAGTTGGGCATCATGCTCACTCCAAACACTGCCATTGCTTCTCTCTTTTTTTCACACTGTCTCAACTCCTTCAGCTGATGGTTTCGTTATTTATCTGGCTTATTTTTTTCCAGTTTTGAACAATATTAACTACGACATGTAAGATAAGAACTTAGTCCTCCCTCATTTCCCACGTCATTCCTGGCTGACAGTCTCAGTCTTAATTTCCCTAATTTGTCTTTCCTGTTTTCTTTTAATATAGCTCTTAGAAATTTTGGTAAAACAATATTAATTATATTACAGTTAGGTAAATACTATTCACAACTTTCCCTTTTCCTTTTAGAATTTTTCCTTTTCCTCTCGAACTGCTTGTATTATCTTTTTAAAGGTTTTATTTTCTCAAGTTAACTCAATCATAAATTCTGTTCATGTTGTGTAAGTCTCCTTAAAAATGTCAAATGTACTGTTGTCAGTTAACTTGCGTGCATACATCTCTCTGAGGACCTCTGTCTGGTTTCCTGAGCTTTCTCAGATAAGGGCTTCCAGACACTGATCATTTGTACCTACATATTATGGTAAGGCTACTGGTGGCCACAAGTGTCACAGGGGCTCCAGCAACTTTAGCCCCTACAGACAACATTAATAAGATTTGAGATGAGTACATAGACACCATAGACATATACATGTACACAGGCATAAGACAGACTGCAGTGTTTATCAGCTTGGTTGTTGGTATAATGTAGGAGTTGACACTCATCCATAATAATATTCCTCACATCTTTTTCTCATTGTCACTACTCTTTGTCCTAAATCTCCTATTTTCTTCTTTTGTGGGGCAATCATTTGCTACTACAACAATCTGCTATTCATAATAGCTAGCTTACAGAGGAAATTTAAGATTTTTTAATGTTTCTCGAAAATATAAAATACCTGTTGATTACCGTTATTATTTTTTTTTTTTTTGTCGGTCCTGGGGCTTGAACTCTGGGCCTGGGCACTGTCCTTCAGCTCTTCAGCTCAAGGCAAGCGCTCTACCACTTGAGCTACAGCGCCACTTCTGGTTTTCTGGTGGTTTATTGGAGATAGGAGTCTCACAGTCTTTCCTGCCTGGGCTGGCTTTGAACCGTGATCCTCAGATCTCAGCCTCCTGAGTAGCTAGGATTACAGGCGTGAGCCACCAGCGCCCGGCTTGATTACCGTTATTGAAAAGATACAGAACAATTACAGCTTTCATGTATCACCATTGTAAGTGTGAGATTCTACCAGGTGAAAACATTGAGATACAGCCTTTCTGAAAATGTCCTTACTTAGTTTTCATATTAAGTGAACTAGATTTTAATCAGGATGTCCAAGATACTTGTCCCATTGATTTTTTCTTGTAGGATATAGCTTTATTCTGCTAGACATACATTGGGCCCTTTTTAGTATAAGCCGTCACTTTGAAAGTATTCTTGTTTTATTTCTTCAATTTTTATCTTCTCTGTCATGTTATTTTATTCTTAGAGTTTTTGTTCTTCAGTAATTGGACCTTTCAGACTGATCTAAATTTTTAATCTTTCTCAGTTGTCTGAGAAACTTTTCGTAAACTTTATCTTATAGTACTACTATTGTAACAGTAGCAGTACTGTACACACTATATCTAGAAACATACACATATGTGTGTGTATGTGTAAAGTGTGTGTGTGTGTGTGTGTGTGTGTGTGTGTATTAGGGTAGAACTCAGGGCTTTTAGATCTTGCTTGTCTCTTTTCCCTCACAGTGGGCACTTTCCTACCTGAGCTGCTCTTCCAGTTCTGACATTTTTGCTGATTAATTGGAGATAAGACTCTTGAGGATTTGTCTGCCCCAGCTTGCTCTGAGTCAAAATCCTGAGTGGTTAGGATCAGCTGATGCCTGGCTGCTAATATATTTTTACACTTGCAAACAATACTTTAAAGCAATTTTTAAAAATATTTTTAAATGATTCTAAAAATTTTTAATTTAAAAATTTTAACTTTAAGAAAATTTTGAACAATACTTTAAAAAAAAGATTTTTTTTCTTCCATTTTTCTTATTTCTGAGGGTATGAGAAGTTTAACTTTTTTTGTCTTTTACTCTGTTTCTTCATCATAATCTTTTCTGTTTATTTTGGGTTTTGGCTTTCACACTAGGATATTTCCTATATTTTCTGGTTATCCTGGTCAGTCAGGGCTCATATTTAAGGAAGATGCTGTCTTAATGGGTTGCAGTTTCTCCCTGTGCTTTTTTTTTGGGGGGGGTCCGGTCATGGGGCTTGAACTCTCGGCCTGGGCGCTGTCCCTCAGCTCTTCAGCTCAAGGCTAGCACGCTACCACTTGAGCCATAGCACCACTTCCGGCTTTTTTTTTTCTGCTTATGTGGTGCTGAGGAATCGAACCCAGGGCCTCATGCATGCAAAGCAAGAGCTCTACCACTGAGCCACCTTCCCAGTCCCATGCTTTTTGTTCTTATACAACTCTGGTTTTAAAGGCAATCTGTATTGTTTTGTTTTGTTTTGAAGTATAATAAAAACAAAAATAAAAGGAAGAAATATATTTGTTTAATCTGTTTCCTTTTAGCTGGAACTCACAGCTTTCATAGATGTTGAAATTTCTCACAGTTGAGATTTATATTCTATAGTGCCATAAATACATTTAAATTCAGCTTAAATATTAAATGAAATATAGAATGCCTATATTAAAATTCACACATAGGTGGTAGTGAAGTTAAGTGTAATCTAAAACAAGTTTATTTTGTCAAATTGCTAGCCTTGTCCTTGTCTTTACCTTTTTTTTTTTTTTTGTCTTTACCTCTTAGAAATACAAACCAAATATGAAATGAAGATCATTTAAGTGGTGGTATATTTTCTCTAAGGTATTAAGTGTTTTGATGATTGTCATCATCTTGTACAGTTATACTAAGGGCTAATGCTGAGAAATGAACATAATTCACAATGATAATTTTTACACTACCCTTTTCCTTTATAAAGAACTAAAGTAGTTTTATAAAAAAATTGAACAGGGGCTGGGAAGGTGGCTCAGTGGTAGAGCAAGCACATGCCTTGCATGCCAGAGGCCCTGGGTTCGATTCCTCAGCACCACATAAGCAAAAAGAAAAAAGCCGAAAGTGGCGCTGTGGCTCAAGTGGTAGAGCGCTAGCCTTGAGCTGAAGAGCTGAGGGACAGCGCCCAGGCCCAGAGTTCAGGCCCCATGACCGGACTCAAAAAAAAAAAAAAATTGAACAGTTTACTTGGTTAGTGATTACATTCAGTCTCTTGTGGATTTTTTATCTTAAAGGAAAGAAGAACAAAATCACTACTTGAAAATAGAACTTTGTGTTTATTTTTAGGAGACATATAACACAAATCTGAGTGGTAAAGACAGAGTTCATCAGTGGAGTTGGGCTTCAGACCTGCCTTTGGAGTGTGCCACGCATTATGTGTCAATTAGGTGCTACATCGACTACCTTCATTTCTCTGGACATAAAGAGTGGAGTGACTGGAGCCAAATGAAGAAGATCCCTTGTAAGCTTCTATTTAAAGACCTTTTGTTTTGAATGACTTGGATTGCTGAGTGAAGTGTAGCTTATACTCCGAATCCCAGTGGCCACATGAGGGTCTCCTGGGAAGCTTCTAAGTTTGCCAACCCATGAGTTTAGATGAAAGAAGTTTGATAGGCTCTAGAAATCTGTAGTTACAAAGAACTTCCTGAGTGATTAGATAAGCTTCTAGGTTTGAAAATCACCAGAAAAGTCATTGAAAAATAAATAACATTGTATATTAGCAGAAATGTATTTTGTGTATTTCCCAGTTTCTTACATACAGATATCTGGAGGCTGTTTAGTTATTGCAAAGAAAATGGATTTCTGCAAGCACTCCAGAAATCATTTGCATTAAATAAAACTTATATACAGGTAGAATGTTGGTAGGTTGAGGAGGCTTGGGAGCATTGCTTACAATAAAATGCTATCCTGGAAATGGCTCGTAATCACTACAAGTGATAGTATACCAAAATGTGTCATAGCAAAGATGGGCTAGAAGCAGGTAGATAAATAAGAATCTGTGGCAGTTGAACAAAAGACAATGCAAGTGCAATCTGGTAATTTGGGTTTGGAAATGAAAAAAGGAAAAGGGTGTGAAAAGCCTGAAGAGGTAGAATGACAATTTGTAATTGTGCGAAACAGCCAACAGTGCCTGATAGTTCAGGTGGCCTGATGACTCACTCAGGTGCTGTTCACTGAGATGGGACATGAATGACAAGGTGGGTGGGGAAGAAAATTTCATTTTTACATGAGCTTGGGCAGTAAGGTAGTAGGCCCCACAGGAATTTGGAAATGACAGTTAGGCATCCAGGTAAATAAGTCCAGCTGTTGATGCCTTTTTGGGAATTATTAATATATATGTGATGTCAAATGCTTAAATTCTGATGGTTAAAATAACTGAGGAAAAGGAAATGGGGACTAAGGGTACATCTCCTAGACCCTCCTGTATCTAAGGGTATGACTGGAGCAAGCCACTGACCCAAGCATTAAGAATAGCCCAGGAAATACAGTGTTAGAGAACCCAAGGGAGTAGGACGTTTTAGCAGGAGGACTTCGGTCAACCTATTGGATGTTGTAGATGTTAGAAGTGACCATTGGAGCATGAAGTCAGTGAGCCATTTTTGTGGAATGATAAGATTAATACAGACAACAGCAGGGAGTGAGGGGTGAAAAGGGAGTACAGAGGTAATTTTATCATCATTTTTTTTGAGGGGGGTTCGGTCGTGGGGCCTAAACTCTGGGCACTGTCCCTCAGCTCTTCAGCTCAAGGCTAGCGCTCTACCACTTGAGCCACAGTGCCACTTCCAGCTTTTTTCTTTTTGCTTATGTGGTGCTGGAGAATCGAACTCAGGGCCTCAGGCATGCAAGGCAAGCGCTCTACCACTGAGCCACCTTCCCAGCCCCACAGAGGTAATTTTAAAAAATGACTATTGGCTGTGAGGTTGGGAAGTTATGGCTTCAACTTGCCTATTTGAGATGAAAGACACATTGTTTTTGAGTGTGTAGAATACTTGAGCAGACATTTAGGCTGGTGGAAAATTAAAAATGGGCCCTAAATGCAAAGAATAATTTCTAAGGGATTTTAAAATGGGGAATTATTTAATCAGAGATTTATTTGCTGTTCATTTTTACATGTATGTACAAACCCACTGATTTGAACCTTAAGAGTTCTTTTTGATTCTTTGAGACAAAGTATCAGTATATAGCTCAGAATAGCCTCAAACTTGAAATCCTCCTCTGGAATGCTGTAATTACAGGTATGCACTACCATTCCCAGATAAACCTTTAGATTTCTTAAACATTAATGTGTGACCTTAGACTTTGGCTATGACCCACTTCCATAAAACTTATATAAAACTGCACATCATTTTTACTTTATTTTGTGTCTTATGTAAATATGTGACTTATAAAACATACTTTATATTTGGGCCAATATTATTTCCCAGTCACATAACAATATGTTTTATATAAATGGGGCTATTTTTTAAATTATCTTTAGGAAAAATGTCTTACTATAGAGACTATTTAACATAAAATGGTTTCTAAATATTTATGCTTTCTTTTTTTCTCCCCTAGGGTCTCCTAACTCTCAGACCAAGGTTTTTCCTCAAGACAAAGTGGTACTCGTAGGTTCAGATATAATCTTTTGTTGTATAAGTCAAAGCAAAGTGCTGGTAGCACAGATTGGCAGTACCCTTTGCCCCCTTATCCATCTTGATGAGAAAAATGTTGCAATCAAGATCCGTAATATTTCTGTTTCCGAAAATAGTGGAACAAATGTGATCTTCACAACAGATGATAACGTGTATGGAACAGTTATTTTTGCAGGATGTAAGTATATAATCTTCAAGAGAGAGCCTCTATAAACTTATTTAGCCCTTGACAGCCTAAATTCTTTTTCTGCAGGAAGCTTCTGTTTCTGTTTCTTTGTTTATTGATGTAAATGATAATACAAAGGCCTTGGAATTCTTGAGTGTTTCAATACTTTTCTCTGTAATGCACTTTTGCATTTCAAGTGAAAGGTAGATTATAAATTTTACAAAATTATATTCTTTTGTAATGGAATTTTCAGAGGTGATTTGCACTGTTCCTCACAGTTGTTGTTGGGGATGAAGATGAGTGAGTCAGCGATAGTGAGATTGCTTTTAAAGGGATATCCAGAAGTAGCCCTACAGTGAAGACAGAAATATATGTTGCTTTCATTTCTATGATTGCAGATCATGTTCTTGTCGTTCATACTACTAGAATAAGCCTTTTAACTTCATAATTGTACCTTCATTTGTAACATTTGAAGGATAGAGTTTAATATTTGTCAACTCAGGGCAACAGTTGAATTTCTCTAGAAACTTCCCAACTTGAGAATTAGGGCTCAAGACTGTCGCTTGCTTTCCATTATGAACATCTTGTTAATTCATCATTGAAAAGAATTTTGGAATAGGTGTATGCATGCACACACACACACACACACACACACACACACACACACACACATAAAAGAAGACTGGTTAAACTTGACTACACAAAAATTTTCTATAATTTGACATAAGCTGTCACCCTGCTATCTACATTAAACCAAAATTTATTTGAAAGAACTAAAATGAAAGAACACAGAGTTCCCACAGGCCAATAAGCACAGGTTTTCCTTGAAACTTAGAAGGTTATTATTAGAATACTCCTTTGAGTTCAGTGTTTTTAAAAGCCAGCACTTTATATCCCTTTTATATGTAGAACTTGAACATGTATTAAAATTGAAGAGTTAGCGTTTAAAAAAATTCTATAATTTGAAACAATGATCTTTTTTCATTTTCTAGTTCTTTTTTTAAAAATTTTTTATTGTGAAAATAGCATACACAGGGGTTACAATTACATGAGCGAGGTAATGAGTACATTTTTATCAAGTATTGTTGCCTCCTCCTTTGTTTCCCCTTCCCATCCCTGCCCTCCCATCTGCCCCCCCCAACTCACACATTTTCTAGTTCTGTCCAAACAAGGCCAGACTTGTTTGTTTTTTTCTTTTCTAGTTCTATCCAAACTTGTAACATGACTGATACTGTTAATATGTTTGGTACTTTTTTTAAAAACACACCATGTAGATAATAAATAATACTTTTACCTGTAGATTTTTCTGACTTACTGACACAGTTATCTCTGAGAGACTTGATCAACTAAAATAAGACTTTAAGAAGAAAATGATAGTTGGTTTCTCAAGTTGCTCTTGGGAATTTTTTTTTTGCTGTCCTTGGGCTTGAACTCTGGGCCTGGCCCACTGTCCCTGAGTCTCTTGGGCTACAGTGCCACTTCTGGCCTTTTCTGATTTGTTTATTGGAGATAAACATCTTATGGCCTTTTCTTCCCAGGCTGGCTTTTGAACTGTGAACCTCAGTTATCAGCCTCCTGAGTAGCTAAAATTACAGGCCTGAGCCACCAACGCCTAGCTCCCTTGGGAATTTCTAAGTGAGCCCACAGTTACTTTGCAGTACATATTAGTCCATCATTTCTAGTATAATAAAAACTGGCAAAAAATGCTGTGGAAAGAATGGTAATTCTTATATTTTTCAAAGATAAAATTATAAGTGTTAAATTATTTTTAATGATGTTTTTACTGTATTTGATTCTGGTACCCTGCATCTTGTATATACATTCTTCTAATTTGGGGAGGGGAATGGAAATAACAAAATGCTGAAATAAAAATACAGGCTAACCTATTGTAAAAATGAGATGTAGAAGACACTATGTTGAAAATGAACTTTACAACTTGGTGGGGAGGGAAGGGAAGAGTTGGGGAAGTGGGGTGGGAAGAGATTGTAGGGGAAAAACAAAGGAAGAGGTAACAATGCTCAATAGGAAATGTACTCATTACCTTACTCATGTAACTGTAACCTCTTGTACAGTTTCTTTACAATAAAAAATATACTAAAAATAAATTATTTTTAATGAAGCTGAATAAAACTATTAACATTTTATATAATTGCATTTTCATTTATGAGTTTTTACATGTAATTATTTTTATTTTTTATGTTAGACCCACCTGATATTCCACAAAAATTGAATTGTGAGACACATGATTTAAAAGAGATTGTTTGTACTTGGAATCCAGGAAGACCAACAGGATTAGTCGGCCCACGAAATACAAATTATACTTTATTTGAAAGGTAATGGTTACCATAAGAAGATGTCAAGGGGCTAGGAAGGTAGCTCAGTGGTAGAGCGCTTGCCTTGTATGCTTGAGGCCCTGGGTTCGATTCTTCAGCACCACATAATCAAAAAGAAAAAAGCCGGAAGAGGTGCTGTGGCTCAAGTGGTAGAGCGCTAGCCTTGAGCTGATGGGCTGAGGGACAGCGCCCAGGCCCAGAGTTTAGGACCGGACCCAAAAAAAAAAAAAAAGATGTCAAATGACAAGTACTTTGGAAGGGCATTTTTAAGTGACATAGGAAATATTCTGTTTTGTTCTTATTGCAAGATACATAGCTGAATATAGAAAACAATATAATCTTTAAAAACTGAAGCTTAACCACATTTAGACTCATGCTAGACAATTGAACCTTCAGATGTGAAAACCTTATTTGTGAGTGGTGGCTTGTGTCTAATTACTTTCTATGTTCTATATATTTTCTAGTCTGAGTATATAATATGTCAATAATTAGAAATGTAAACTTTTTAAGAAGACTAATTATTAGAGTGCTGAGTAAATAACTCAGGTGATAGACCCCTGAGTTTAGTCTCCTGTACCAAAAGGAGAGAGGGGAAAAGAGAAGGGAGAGAGCTTGAAGGAGAAGAGGAAGAGGAGAAATTTGCCCTTTTTCTATAATCCCTTGCTATTTGAAAATAATTTTCCTTTTAAATCACAGCTTTTCAAAGAAATATGTTACATTTAAAAGAGCTGAAACATTCACAAATGAAAGCTATCAGTTATTCTTCCAAATTCTTCCAGATCAAGAAATTTACAATTTTACTCTGCATGCTCAAAATCCTCTGGGAAAATCAGAATCAGCACAATTAGTCAATATAATGGAAAGAGGTAAGTAACCAGTGTCTTTAAAATAATTTTGGAAGTGGTAACGTGCCTTTGAAATCATGAAAAATGCTTCTACAGATGCATTAACTCAGATTCACCCAGCACACTGAGCAATGAATGACAGAGACTTGCAGTCTAGGGATAGAGGGCTTAAACCAAGTGCCTTATCATGTATCCTGGCATGTGAGTTGTAGATGAATCTGTTGTATTATTTGTAACATTGTCACTTTTACCCATTATTAACTTCCTGCTGTCTTCCTGACTTCTCATAGGATCAAAATGTAGTTGAGTGATGATAGTGCTTACAATTCTCTGTCTTCTGCCATTTCTTCTTTATTTATATGATTCTCTCCTGTCACTCAAATTATCATATGCATAATCAGTGGTGTAATGTGCCTTTTCTTTACCTTTCTTCTTGCCAACACCCCAACTTGAAATGTCTTTCTTCTATTTTGCCAGTTTTAGTCTGACTCTTCTTTTGAAGTCTACCTTTAGGTCTAGCTCCACTATAAGATTTCTCCTAACCTTATTACATTTATTACATTTTTTTTTTGCCAGTCCTGAGGCTTGAACTTGGTGTCTGGGCACTGTCTTTGAGTTTCTTTTGCTCAAGGCTAGCACTCTACCACTTGAGCCACATCTCCACTTCTAGCTTTTTCTGGTTATGTGATACTGAGGAATTGAACCCAGGGCTTCATGCATGCTAGGCAAGCACTCTACCACTAAGCCACATTCCCAGCTGATACTGAATTTTTTGTGGCAATGGACATCATGCTATGCATTGAGAACCTAGTGTAGCTGTCCCTAATTCTCATATTCACTCTTCCCTTTGTCATTCCTCACATATGATAGAAGTTTTCCTTAAAGAATACTGTGATATTACTGTGCTTTATATTCCCAACACCAGATGAAGAACCTTTGTTGTGATTGAGTCTTTAAAAATGTTGACATGGAGCTGGGTGCCGGTGGCTCACGCCTGTAATCCTAGCAACTCAGGAAGCTGAGATCTGAGGATCGCGGTTCAAAGCCAGCCCTGGCAGGAAAAGTCCGTGAGACTCTTAATCTCTAATAAACCACCAGAAAACCAAAAGTGGCGCTGTGGCTCAAGTGGTAGAGTGCTTGCCTTGAGCTGAAGAGTTGAGGGACAGCGCCCAGGCCCAGAGGTCAAGCCCCACGATCAACAACAACTACAAAAAAATGTATGGTGCTGGGATGTGGCTCAGTGGCAAAGAGCTTGCCTTGCAAGTACAATGTACTTGGTTTAATCCCCAGTACCAAAAGACAAAACAAAAAATGTTGGCATGACAGCAGCAAAAATAAAGTTTGTGGATTTCATATTTTTGTTCCCTGACAAAATGATACCTCAACTTTTTTTTCCATGCTAAGTCCTAGGGCTTGAACTCAGGGTCTTGCCCAAGCCTGGCACTCTACCACTTGAGCCACAACTCTACTTCTGGCTTTTGGTATGTATTTGGAGATAAGAGTCTCACAGACTTCCTACTTGGGTTAGCTTGTAACCATGATTCTCAGCCCAGACTCTAGAGTAGCTAGGATGAGACTTGTGAGCCACTGGTGTCCAGCTCTCCTTGATGTAAAAAAAAAACTTTTGTTTGTATTATGAGCCTGTTTCTCATCTCTAAAAGCATGTTTAAAGTAATTAAACTTGTAATTCTTTTTACAGTCTCTCCCCATACTCCTACTTCATTGAAAGTTAAGGACATTAATTCAACAGCTGTTATACTTTCTTGGCATTTACCAGGCAATTTTGCACAAATTAATCTTTTATGTCAAATTGAAATTAATAAAGCAAATTCAAAACAAGAATTGGTAAGTGACAATGTTCTATAAACATATTTTGGGTGGTTTTTGAATAAACATTTAGTTTTTAAAAATTATTAGGTAAAATTTTATGTGTAAGGCTCACAAATGATTAATTATGGAGATTTACTAAGAACCACAAAAGACATGTCCATGTAATAGCATTACATTAAGCATTGGAAAGCAATTGTAATAATGGAGATTTTTGAGCATAAGTTCAGATGTTCCCAGATGTTCTCTAGTATTTAGTACCTGGCATGGGTGGCTATTGCTCAATAAATTTGTGAATGAAGAGTAGTGTTTGGCACAAGCTAATGGACTAATTGGCACCAGAGTAGCAATGACTATTTTTTAATTATACAGTGAAACAATAAAGCAAGTTATAATTGGTAATTATAAGTCAAAACATGACTTTGTAGTATGTTCTAAATATATAGGTTGACTTATAATTTGTGATAAATCTAAAATAATATTGTATATAAATACTCATTCAGAAATTTACTCTTTTCTAGAAAATAAGTCAAAAGTATAAAATGTAATCTGCAGAACTTCTTTGTTAGAAGTTGAGGGCTAGACAAAGGTGACCCTGATCTGTTATCCCAGCTACTTGGGCAATAGAGATCAGAGGCTTGGGGATCAAGGCCAGTCTTGAAGAAAGTTAGTGAAATGCAATGTCAACCAACAAGCTGGGCACAGTGATATGCATTTGTATCACAGCTATGTGGGAACCCATTGGTAGAAGTCCACAGGGTCTGTTTCAGCCAGCCTTGTACCAAAAAACATGAGATCCTATCTGGAAAATAACTAAAATAAGAAGGGCCAGAGATATTGCTCAAGTGTACCCACTTGAGTAAGCATGTAGGACTGAAGTTTGGACCCCACTACTGCCAAAAATACATTAAAAAGCCAAGCAGACAAGACCTCAGATGCTTTGCTGAGACATGCAAATCTTTACATTTATTTAAGATTGTTTCATTGTAAGGTTATTTGTTTAGTTTAAATAAGTATTTATGGACTACTTATCATGCTAAATGTTTTAAGTGACATAGTAAAAGATGCATGAAAGATGATGATACCTGCCTTAAGGAAGATTCCATAGAACATCTAAAGAATAGATTTAAACCTCAAGGATTTAACAGATTACCAAATTATGTTCAAATGTATTGCATAATAAGTAACCATTCACTGACTGTCAAAAGTCTGCATTGTATACTTGGCCTCTATTACATAAAACCATTCCTGATTTGTATTAAAAATATATATTGGTATTGCAGAAGAGAATTTCTTGGTATTTACATACGAATTGAAATATGCTAGTTGATAAACTCTGACATTATAAATGTAAATGCATATGGAAATTTTGTTGATTTCTTTTAAAAATATAGAAGAGTTTCTGTGGGTCTATATCTATATATGTATTCATATAACATAGCATATGCACATATGACTTGGAAGAGAGATCAAAATGCAAGAATATTTAACAGAAATATGTGAGGGGGCTGGGAAGGTGGCTCAATGGTAGAGCACTTGCCTTGCATGCCTGAGGCCCTGGGTTCAATTCCTCAGCTCCACATAAGCAAAAAGAAAAAAGCCCAAAGTGGCGCTGTGGCTCAAATGGTAGAGCACTAGCCTTGAGCTGAAGAGCTGAGGGACAGTGCCCAGGCCCAGAGTTCAGGCCCCATGACCAGACCCTCCCCCCCCAAAAAAAAAGAAATATGTGAGATTTTTTTGCTTATAGTATTTCAATTTTTGTATACTTTTTATATTTTTCAAATAGCAGAATGCCACAATCAAAGGAGTAAAAAATGCAGATTATCTCATTGATGTGAACAAATTAAATCCATATACTAAATATACTTTTCGAATTCGTTGTTCTGCTGAAACTTTTTGGAAATGGAGCAAATGGAGCAATGAAAAACAACATTTAACCAAAGAAGCCAGTAAGTTAAATAAGTGTTGATAGCTAATTATTACTAATGGGGAAACGAGAAGATGTTAGACCAAATGACACCCAAATTCAATTATAGATAACCTCAAGAGTGATTTTTAACCTACTTTCTGGGGTCTGGAGATTGGTAGGAGTTGAGAGCTTAACTTTTCTGTTACTTCATTTTCTAAATGAAAGCCACTATACTGCTTAACATTTTTAGAGAATTCCAAATACCCTAAAGAAAAGTTGGGGGCACTGATATCTCACTTATTGGCATTTTCCACTAACATACATTTATGCCTCTTTAAGATACTGACTTGTAATCTTCTTTCCTAGTTCCTTCAAAGGGACCAGATATATGGAGAGAGTGGAGTTCTGATGGAAGAAACTTAGTAATCTATTGGAAGGTAAATATCTGATTTTTCCTTGGCTATTTAAATAACTTCATTATGTTCAACATACATTATGCTTAACATAAATATATTAGTTTGCCAATCAAGGAACCAAGACTTCTCAGACTGGCCACGTTTCTAGTATTGCTAGGAATCGTACCTGGTTTCTAGACTTGCAATTCCTCATTATTCTTAATTCATCACAATCATTGACCACAATCATTGTAATGAGGGTCTTCTCTCAATTGTAAGCACACTTTAACTTTAGGATGCTGATAAAGTTCTTGGGGGTTCATGAGTTCCCTCTCCCTCACTTTCATCAGAAACCCAGCCCCAGAACTACAAGTTAACATCTCAAGTGTTAATATATTTTTCTTCTTATGAATGAACCAAGTCTCACACAGTGTCATATTCTGAAAGATTTTGGAAAAAGAAAAAAGTGACACAAAAATGTTTGTTGAAGTATTTTAGTACTAAAGAAAATTGTAAAAAATTTAAATTTGATTTGTTTAAGAAATTATCTAGTATACTGATAAAATGATGCATGAAATACACAGTCACTACAATCCATCTAATTGTATTAGCATGGGTATTTGTATATTATAGAAGAGTGAAAAGAATAGAATTTTACAGTTTGATGAGAACAAGGAATTTCTTTCCATTCTATAACGCAGAGTTCAGACAAGATGAGTTAAATTTAAACCATTTAGTAACATAAAGAAAATAGCTCAGCTGGGCGCTGGTGGCTCACGCCTGTAATCCTAGCTACTCAAGAGGCTGAGATCTGAGGATTGCGGTTCAAAGCCAGCCCAGGCAGGAAAGACTGTGAGACTCCTATTTCCAATAAACCACCAGAAAACCGGAAGTGGCGCTGTAGCTCAAGTGGTAGAGCACTCACCTTGAGCTGAAGAGCTGAGGGACAGCGCCCAGGCCCAGAGTTCAAGCCCCACCACCAACCCAAAAAAAAAAAAAAAATAGCTCAACACCTACATCTAAACAGCGTGAATCATTATTGAAAAGGTAGACATTCAGGAGATTTTTTTTCTTTCAACTTTTATCTGTTTTCTAATTTTTTTAATACATATTTACAACTTTAAGACAACAAATGCTTTAAAAATACACTGCTATAATTACTTACTCTGTTTTGTTTGTTCATAAGTAGAGGAATGTTCCTAACCACGTTAGGTTTTTGTATTTACTTAATTTAAAATTTTCTTTCTACTGTTATTCTTAATGGCAAGTATGAATTTTCTTCAGTATCTCATTCTGATCTACACACATCTCAATGGATTTTAAGTTTATATTTCATAATTTGACATTCTTTTTTCTAATGTTACTTTGTTATTGTGGACAAAACTTCCAGTTTAGACTTAATGACCATACTTTCGTTTTGCAAATTTTTAATAGAATTTGTTTTTGGTTTTTCACAGCCTTTATCCATTAGTGATGCGAATGGAAAAATACTTTCTTATAATGTGTCCTGTTCGTCCCATGAGGAAACACAGTTCCTTTCTGAGGTCCTTGACCCTCAACACAAAGCAGAGCTACCACTCAGTAAAAGGGACTGTATTATCAGTGTGGTGGCAAAGAATTCTGCTGGCTCATCGCCACCTTCTAAAATACCTACTATTGAAATCCCAAATGGTGAGTACTTCATACAACTTAGAATATGAATTAATTTTAAAAAAGAGATACACATGGTTGACATTGAACAAGATGCATTGTATCCATAAACTGATTTGTTGATTGGCAACTACGTTAAGATGATAAAAAATTTAAAGACAACCTACTGTTGACATTTCTTGTTCTTACAGAATGTAGACCACCTTGTTCTTCTGCTGAAATTTATATTACATCGAATAGCAAGCAGATCATTCATGACTCACTGAGAGGTTGCAGGTGTTAGTATGGATGGGAAATGCGTACACTAACATAAAATAATCAATGGATCCAGTTTGTTACGTAATGTTGGAAAGTTATAGTTGAAGATAGTACTCTTAAAAAGAAATACTTTAACTGGGAATATTAACTTCAGATATCTTCCCCAAGACTAAGTCAGTGTTTGTGAAGGTAGGCTAGTTTGCAAAAGGAGAAAAAAAAAACCCACTAGTTTTAATTGGCAGGGTTGATAAGAAAGTCTTCCTAAAGTCTACATTAAATCTTTAATAGAGGCTTTGGGGAAAATGGTGGTGAAATTTTAGAATTATTAGTTCTGTCCTTTAAATTTTACAGATTATCTGTGACAACTTCATTTCTTCTTAGCTTCTATGAGGACTTTTTAAAATTAGAGTATAATACTCTTCCATTAGGATATTTTCACACACACATGTATAATGTACTTGGGTAATACTTAGTCCCCTATTATCTGCCTTGGCCTCTCTTTCTGCCTACTGGCTCCCTTCCTCTTCCTGAATAGCTGGACAAGTCATGAATTTTAAATGTCCTTTTATACTTCTTCCAATTAACTTCTCTTTCTAGTCATTTATCTTCTTGCCACCTTCTGTGCAGCCCAGTGTGAGAACAATTTGTTAGAAAAAGAAGCAAACAGAAACTGTTCTAACCAGGTGCTGGTGGCCTGTCATCCTAGTTACTCAGGAGACTGAGATCTGAGGATCGTAGTTCAAAGCCAGCCCGGGCAGGAAAGTCCATGAGACTCTTATTGTCAATAAACCACTCAGAAAGTGGCACTGTGGCTCAAGAGTGCTAGCCTTGAGTTGAAGAGCTAAGGGACAGCCCCAGAGTTCAAGCCCCATGACCAAAAAAATCTGGTCTAGTTAGGGTTCTTTTTGTTTTCTCAGCTCTTAGCTAGAACAGGTTCTTACTCCTTATTACTGATCTGGTTCTTGGTTCTGTTCAAGGCAGCAGCCATAAGTATAATTAGGAAGAGGGAAAAGAGGGAATGAGGAATGCACAGAAAGTTTCAAGGACATTAGCTGAACCCAGATAGCAGGGTAAGGCACCAGGCACTGGCGCACCAGATGCAGGGAATATAGCCATTAATTTGACCCTGGCCAAGGAAAAAAAGAGCCCATCAGTCATTTAGGATAAATGCCCTCACAATGACAGGGAACAGTTATCCTTTAACTGCTCTAGTTCTACCTGAGAAGATGGTGATTTACTGAGCTAACCACACTCGGGTCCTGATGGAGCCCCAGGACACTCGTGCTGCTGCAGGATTTCCTTGTTTGTGACTCTGCAGCATCAGTTTAGGTTTATGTTGTGGGTTTATAATCATATTCAGCCACAAAGCTGTCTTATGTCCAAAGACTCTTCTGAATTCTAAGACAAATTGTCTTCCGTTTAATAGTAGCAGTTCTATTATTTCACATGTGTTTTTAAAAAAAAAAAACCCTTTCCATGGCTACAGTATAAATCAGTCAGAAATTACTCTTTCCTCCTGTTCCTGTGGACAGTATTTACCTCTCTTTTGACCTCATGGTGCTGGCCCACTGCCCTGCCCCTGCCCAGATTCCTCATCCTCATCAGATCTAGCAGGACAGGAAAACCACACTCCCACATACTTCCCTTCCTGACCTCACCCAGCCTAGGTACCCTGCCCACAATAGTCCATGGGTCTCTGTGGAAGCCCACTCTAGTGCTCCACACCAGCCAACACATCTCATAGCTCTCTGTACCTGTCCTTGGTGCTTTTCTCCTGCTTTGTCAATCTCTGGGTCCAGGTAAGTGCTAGAGTTTTCCAATAAAAATAACAGAGAAGCACTTCAAATCTTTGCCAAACATTTGCATATCTTGAGCATTGTTTTATAATCTGTACATAGTAAGGTATTCTTACAACTCCTGTCCATTTTTATGAAGCTTGCCTTAAGTTAGTTTGTAATGCCAATACAATATCCTTCTTTCTTATTAAAGATGATCTCAAAGTAGAGGAGGTTGTTGGAATTGGAAAGAAGATTCTCCTCAGCTGGCATCACAACCCCAACATGACTTGTGACTATGTTATTAAATGGTGTAACTCATCAAGGTCTGAGCACTGCCTCATGGACTGGAAAAAAGTTTCTTCAAACAGCACTGAAACTATCATAGAATCTGGTAAGATTAGTGCTTCTCAGGATTCCTATAAAATATTTTTTAAGCCACACACCATGACTAGATGCAGCAAAATAATCAATGGGGCAGGTATACGTCTATTTAATCTTTCTGGAAGGTTGTTTGTAACGATATGTATGAAAAGATTCAAATCTTTTGATCTGGGAATTGCTTAGGAATTTATTCTGAGGAATAATCAGAGAACAACATGAATTTCCATCTAAGAATATTCTTTTCTTGACAACATTATTTGTAGTCAAGAAAAACTGTGAAAACAACTTGAATAGCAAATAATAGAATGAGTCAATAATGGCACTATTGAGAAATGTACTGTTGAGAAAGTAACTAAAAGGTATGTCAGAGATGACACGTCAGGGGAAGAGCTCTTCAGAGAAGAGGAGCATACAGCCCCTCTGCAACCTCCCCACAGTCCCATGCCTTTGTTTGCTTAGGTTACTGAGGCTGGGAAAAATGGTGCACTGAGGACTTGTCACCATCACCTTTCACTTTCCTTGATGGGAGACAAAGGGCTGCCAGTGGTGGAAGTAGGCATAAGGAGAGGCTTGCAGTCAGTTGCCCACCTGCTGGTTAGCCTATGAGTCTTTCAGGTGAAGCATGAGAAGGAGCCCTTGGTAACCCAGGGGCTCAGCCTACCTATCTTGTGGAATTAAAGTCTAATGCAGTGTCATTGTTCCTTCTACTGAACTAGTTAGTGTGGTGCCTGCCCCATGGAGTTTCTGCTGCCCCATAGCCTGTGGGTAGCCATGCCTTCTGAGTCGTCCCAGCTCCTGCTTCTCCCTCATGTATTGGTGAAGCGTGCAGGAGAGCAAGAGGCCTGGAGCAACAGCTTTTCTGCCTTCCCTACTTTTTTATGGTTTCCATGGTTATATAATGAGGTGGAGTCCCATTCAGAGTTTCAGTGCTGGGAAATTATCTTTTACTTTCTGTTGAGCTTTGGGAACAGCATGTGGCATGCAACAAACACTTTTGAACTCCTTTCTCTTCAGCCGTCCTCTCATTCCACTGTCCTCTCTTTTTTTTAATAGCCTTAGCATATGTCCCTAGTGCTTTCATCCATGCAGGCTCACTGAAGAGGCAGAACCTTGTGGAATATCTGGCCTGTAAATAGCATGTAATTTTAACAGAAAAGGAGGTACAGATTTACTAGTGAAATAAAATTCTAATCTCTAGCATGCTTTTCTTTAAAGAAGAAAAATTACACTTACCCCAGCACATAGCAAACATTTAAGGAAAAATGGTTCAAGAAAAGAAGCCTGGTGCCAGTAGCTCACACCTGTAATCCTAGCTACTCAGGAGGCTGAGATCTGAGGACTGCAGTTCAAAGCCAGCCCAGGCAGGAAAGTCTGTGAGACTCTTACCTCCAATTAATGACCAGAAAACTGGAAGTGGTGCTGTGTCTCAAAATGGTAGAACACTAGCCTTGAGCTGAAGAGCTCAGGGAGAGCACCCAGGCCTAGAGCTCAAGCCCTGTGACCAACCAAAAAAAAAGAAAAGTAGTTAAAATTGAGACAATCAATTCTATTTTCCTTTGGTGGTATGATTCTTTTAGAGGCTGACCATCTCACATGCCTGTGGATGATTGGTATTGTTTGGGCGCAGAACTGGAGAACTAATGTTGTTACTAACAACCTTAGAGTAATTGTGTTTCTGCACATGAAATGCCATAATTTCCTCTAGAATTGTCTTCCTAGAACATCTCTGATGAGCTCCTACTTGTCCTTCAATGCCCTTTTTGGAAGATCTCTGTGGTGTCTTAGCATCTGCTACGTGCTGTGTGATTGTTACCACTGCTCATGTGCCTTCCCACCACTCTGTCAACTTCATGTCAGAGACTTATTTTTTTCATTTCTGGTTTTCCCTTATTGCAATTGTAGTGTATCAAGAAAGTATTTTAAAAATATGTTTTCATCTGAGTGCTGGTGGCTCATGCCTGTAATCCTAGCTGCTCAGGAGGCTGAGATCTGAGGATCATGGTTCAAAGCCAGCTCAGGCAGGAAAGTCTGTGAGACTCTTGTCTCCAATTAATCACCATAAAACCTGAAATGTAGCTGTGGCTCAAGTGGTAGAGCACTAGCCTTGAGTAAAAAGAAGCTCAGGACAGTATCCAGGCCCTGAGTTCAAGCCCCAGGAGACAGACGACTGACAGACACATAGACAGACAGACAGACAGACACACACACACACACACACACACACACACACGTACGTTTCAAGTTAAGATACTTCCCTTACATGTCTTGAAGAGATATCTCACTTAGTGATACTTTGTGACAGTGGATAGAGGAACAGACTCTTAGTTCTGGTCCTTTATATTGAAGTTTCAAGGTAGAGTGGAACTCTTAGTATGCTTAGAGCAAAGTTTCTTCTCAGCACCATGAATGGAAGCGGGAGGTGGGGGGGGGGGGAGTATTACAAAAGTATGATGACGACTTGAATTACTATGCATATATCATTTTGTATGTACATGTAAAAGTTTACTGATTTGTCGTTCTTCCCATAGATCAGTTTCGTTCAGGTATAAGATACCATTTTTTCCTGTATGGGTGTAGAAACCAAGGTTATCAACTACTGCGTTCCATAATTGGATACATAGAAGAACTGGGTAAGTAAAAGTTGAATGGGTAAGTTTTTTTTTTTCAGAGTTTAGGTAATTTCAAAAAATATTTTAAAATAAGTTAAGCTATTTAGTTGAAGCCAGGTGCTGGTGGCTCACGCCTGTAATCCTAGCTACTCAGGAGGCTGAGATCTGAGGACTGCGGTTCAAACCTAGCCTGGTCAGGAAAGTCATGAGGCTCTTATTTCCAATTAATCACTAGAATGCTGGAAGTGGCGCTGTGGCTCAAGTGGTAGAGGGCTGGCTGAGCTGAAGAGCTGAGGGACAGCGCCCAGGCCCAGAGTTCAAGCCCCACAACCAACCAAAAAAAAAAAAAAAAAAATTTTTAGTTGAAGGTAGATACAATAATTGGCTTAGTAAACTTAAATTTATTTGGTTATTTAGCCTGTTTACTTCACTGCTTTATTACTATTTCCACTGAGAAAATTCATCTTAACTTGATATCAGAAATGCTTGATTTGCCTTATACAAGTTTAAGAAACTGTTAATTTATTCAAGACTAGCAATGAAGAGGAGAAATAAAATTGAAATCTACATGCATGGCCATTTAAAGATGTTTCTATATGAGTTTTGTGTAAAACTTTTAAGTTTCACCTTGGTTCCTATAATACTTTGATCTATAGTTATTAATATGTAAGTATGGTGACAGTATCACTGTAATGACATCTAATTTATAAATAGAGTACAGTTTTTAATTCCAAGTTTAGCTTTTATGAGAACCCTGAAATCTCATGAGCCATGTGGTCTTGCTCAGTGTTGGTAAACTTGCCTTCAGTGATTTAGTTTCTTCTTTTTTACAGCTCCAATTGTTGCACCAAACTTCACTGTTGAAGATACATCTTCAGATTCCATATTAGTAAAATGGGAAGATATTCCTGTGGAAGAACTTAGAGGTTTCTTAAGAGGATACTTATTTTACTTTCAGAAAGGAGAAAAAGACACATCTAAGATGAGGGGTTTGGAACCAGGTGAATGAATTGCTGGTATGACTGTGGAAGCTTTCATTAGCTACAGCATAAAAGAAAATGCTGCTGAGTAGTTTAACATTACAAAGTTCCCAAACTTTGTGAAAAATAAAGAATGCAGATATTTTATGAACATAGGAATTTTAAAATTTCTTTTAAGAAATCATTTATTTATGTTTTAGTTTGATTTTAGGCTCCCTGGGGGCTTCCAGGCCTCCATTGTAATTGACCAAGAGCTATCAGTGCAGTCAGTGTCTGCCTCAGTCTTGACTAATATAGCTTCTAAGAGCTGACTGAGCCTCCCTAGGTCATGTGACTTATGTGATTCTCAGACCTTAAAAAAAAAAAGGGAAACCCTAAATACCAAGATCCAAAGTAAAATAATTTTCCTCAAATGCTCTGAAATTTTACACTTGAACCAGTTAAAATTCTAGTGTCTGGATTTCCAGTTAGACACAGTCATTCAAGTTAGAGTAAAAGAGAAGAAGAAACTTGATTTCATAAAGCCACCAAGGAGAGAGTGCAAGAGACAAGACAAGAGCCAAAAAAAGAATTCTGACACTTTTGAATGGACATGAGGCAGCGACTCAACATAGTAGGAAAATGGTAAAATCTAAGAGCACCATCAAATCTCATTGAGAAGTAGATTGATTAATCCTGAAGGACCAGTATTGAAGACAGATAGCTGAGACAAAGATGGCTGAACAGAGGAAGTTAAGGAAATATCCTAGAACTAGGAACCTGAGTATTAAAAAGTAAAAGAATCCATCAAGTATAATAAAATATCTGTGTACATATACCAGATATAGAAAGAGAATCAAAGCCAGGGTCATTGGCTCATTCTTATAATCCTAGCTGCTCAGGAGTCAAATCTGATGATGGCAGTTGGAAGCCAGAGAGTAGGGAAGTCTGTGATACTCTTATATCCTATTAACTAGGGAAAAAAACCTTTTTGTGGTTTAAGTGATTGGACACAAGCCTTGAACAAAAAAAGCTAAGAATAGCGCTCAGGCTTTAAGGTCAAGCTTTAGTACTAGGGCACAAGTACATACAACACATACACATACACACAAACATGCACACACAATCAGAGAAAAATAGGTCATGTGGAGGTGATCAGGAGGAAGAATGGTGGCAAACTTCCCAGCAACCCTCAGTAATAGGTCCCACAGTATGTGCAGAATATTGAGGAAATTTATCTTGAAACTGCCAGTCTACCAGCTAGTATAAGAGTATGAGGGTAGAATGGAAACGTTTATAGACAAACATTGTGTACAAGGCTTTGTACACATTTTGTTTCTGGGAACCTTGCTGCTTTTATCAGGAAGTTGGTGAAAGAGTTCCTCACCCTCACAGTGAGGAAAGGACTGGAAAAGACCCAGGAAGCAGTGAGGAGAGTAGATGCGGCCCCGAGGGCAGCAGGCTGGGTGACTTCCAGTCCAGTGCAGGAGGCAGGGAAGGAGGCCTTCAGAGGGAGGTAGCAAGGCCTGTGTGGATCTGGAATTGTGTTTGAATATATGAAAATTGTAAGTATTCACTGGAGGATGTGGAAAGGACTAGGAATTGATACATTTTAACAAATCAAGCAAATGAAGGAGAGAGCATGTAACAAAAGCAGTTTTCCTTATCAGGAACTCATTTATATATTTAAAAAAAGATGAGAAGGAAATACGGAGATAACCCAAAAAAACCTGATAATGTTTTGAAGTAGTTAAGGAGGATGACGGTGGGACTGGTGGAGAATGCCTTCAGTGTTACTAATCACTGAGTAGTAATGTAATTTTTACATCATCTTGCATTATTTTTGTTGACATTTTTAACATCAAAGGGGTTAAACAGTGCTTCACAGTTGCTTTGTAAGTGTTTCAAAAGCTGCTTCCTAGTCTCACATTTGAGAATTTCCATAACACTAGTCCTTTTCTAAGTGGTTTGCAGTCGCCTCTGGACCCATCCGGCCCCTGGCCTCTGACTAACAGGCAGGATCTCCCGAGTATGTTTAGGTTGCAGTGGTTTTTGAGCTCTTAGTCACAGACAGGGAGTGACATGTATGTATTGCCTGCTCTAGAGGATGTGAATGAAAAGTACACAGCACTGACAGAAAGTCATGATATTCTTTCAGAGTCAAATAAACTCAAGTTCTGAGTAATGTCAGTGTAATTCCTGACAGGAAGAGGTAGAACTTGAACAAGGCTCTGGCTGGCCCAGCTCCATCATCTGCTTGTGGGGTGGTCAGGGTCCAGAGTCATTGAAAGGGTAGTTTCACAAGCATCTATAACCATAGGTTTAAAATGGTATTGAGGTGAATTAGACTGTTCATTTTAAAAGTAGGTCGTTCTGACATCAAGATAAAGAACATTACGGACATATCCCAGAAGACACTGAGAATTGCCGATCTTCAAGGTAAAACAAGTTACCGTCTGGTCCTGCAAGCCTACACTGATGGCGGCGTGGGCCCCAAGAAGAGCATGTTTGTAGTGACGAAAGAGAACTGTAAGTTCAGCCAAGATGCCTTCCACACTTGAATTGATGACATTCCTAGTGACTTTCACTGCTCTGTTCAAAAGCTGGCACATTTTGTTGATTTTTGTATCAGGTAGAAAGTATTGTGTGTTGAGCCTGTTTCCAAATGAGTGCCTAAGAAGTTAATGAAGTGGTGGTAAATCTAAATCTAGAGGTCTGAATGCAGATGGAATTTTTCTGAATTCAGTGTAGTTTCCTAGCTAGGTTATGATTTTTAACACGTGTAAGAAAATTGGAGGAATATCTTTCTAAATTTGTCATTCAGCACAGCACTTAGAAATGTGAGATAGTAGAGAATAATAGCCTTAGCTATCTATAAACAGCAGAGAACTTTGTTTTGATTCCTGGCTTGTCCTCTACCTTGAGCTGGAGTAGAGTTCAGGTACAGAACTTAAAGGATGTAATTTTCCAGAGCAGTAGTTATCACCTGGGGTGACTTTTGTACCCTGGCAATAACTGGTAACACTTGATTTTCATAAGTGAGTGACAGTGTTGAAATCTAGTAGTTAGAGGCCAGACCTGCTGCTGAGCTTCCAACAATGCCCAAAACGGCCTCCTTGCTGCCCCATTCCTTCCAGAGCAACAGCTGGCCTGCCTGCCAGTAGTGGCAAGATGGAGAAACTCTGCTCTGAAGAATAGAAGTATTAGAATAGAACTTAAAAATAACAGGTGTTTTCTAGTTTTGATTCTACAACTGTGATTTTTACTATTTGCAACCTTCTGTTTTCAGCTGTGGGATTGATCATTGCCATTCTCATCCCTGTGGCAGTGGCTGTCATTGTTGGAGTGGTGACAAGTATCCTGTGTTACAGGAAACGAGAATGGTAATGAGTTATATGTTACAGACTAATTACATCTTTTCAGTTGTACTAGTTATATGCAAGTTTTAGTCAGAATTAGTGTTAATGTTAGAATTAGTGTTAATTAAGCGAGAATATGATATTTTTGTTTAAAGCAAATAGAGTAAAAGTATAAATTTTTCTCTACAGTTTTATCAATCAAGTAATGGCCATCTTGCTGAATATATTTAGGCAAAAGTAGAATAGCTGTCTACAAAACTAAATGTAATTTAATGGCTAAGTTCTCACTTTCTCTGGTGACCCATTGGGAAAATGTGGTCTTTGGGGCCGGCAGGCTGAGGGTGGGGGCAGTGGACTGTGAGCATGTGATAAGCCTGTGCTTGCAGAGTGTGGGTGAGCACCAGGAAGAGAGGGAGCTGAGCCAGGTGCCCTGAGCAGAGCAGGAAGGCTGCTGTGTGGGAGAGGCCTGAAGGACAAGGGCAGGAAAAGAACCTTCCAGACAGAGGATAGCTTCTGTGACACTCTGAAAGTAGAGAAGCTTTGTGGCTGGGTGAGGCAGGGGACAGAGGCAGGGACTGGAGTGGACTAAGGTGGGCAGGGTCTTAGTGAAGATGACCCTGTTTTCTTGGTCATTGGCTGGAGCTGTCCTGGCAGGGGTATGGGTGAACAGCTGCATTCATGACAGAAAAGACCTCACTTTCTTGAAAATGCCATTGTAATGACAGAGAAGCTAATGTATTCTAGCAATCTTGGCTGCTAAATCAAAATAGTAGCAGAATTACAGCATAACCTGTTTGGTAACCATATCTTCATTAGCAGAAATCATGTTTTAAAACAACCATTTTAATACCAAAACAAAGGCAAATTTAAAAAGATGTCTAGAGTCTAAAGTGTTTGACACATTAACAAAGTCATTCCTCCTTCAGGAATTTCACATAACAAGTTCTTCTTAATACCTGCAGCAAAAGAAGTATGGCAAGATATCGACCAAATCTCAGTTTGTTTGTGTTTGTTTTTCATTCAAGATTGGTAGCCTTTATCTTAACACAGCAAGTACCTTCCTGTGACACCTGGCTGTCACTTTTAGTACTTGTGAAGTCCCCCCTTGAGAAAGCGCCTGCCAGCACTCACTCAAGGTGTTCCTTCTAATAGTCAGACTTGGCGCAAGGGGGGGAGGGGAGGCAGAAAGCTGCAAAGGCAAGTGCATCCTGCCTCTTCACATTCCTGAAGTAATCGGTCCTGTAGTCGGAAAACTTTGGTTTGGATGAGCAACGACTGCATTTTATGTGGGATATGAGAGTGTAGTCACTATTGGAAGTTTGCTTTATTTTCATTAGATTGGAAAAAAGATACCTTGGCTCTAGAAATAAAATGACCATTTATATAGTTTTTAAATTGGAACCTAGTAGAGAATGCACTAGTAAATGAATATACCCTATTTTAACCTCAGCTGTTCATATATATATATATATATATATATATATATATATATATATATGTATGTATGAGCATAAAATAAGCCAGATGACTTACAAACTTTGCTACTTGACTGGTCATCTTATAGCTATTAAACTTAACTAATCATTCTTTATTTAAAGGATTAAAGAAACCTTCTACCCTGATATTCCAAATCCAGAAAATTGTAAAGCATTACAATTTCAGAAGAGTGTCTGTGAGGTAAACCTTTTCTCATTTTTTAATTAGTTTTTCTTTTTTAATTTTATTTCTTTTGTTTACTTTCTGTGGTACTGAGGAATCAAACCCAGGGCTTCATGCATGCTAGGCAAGCACTGTACCACTGAGCTACATTCCCAGCCCCTCCCTCTCACAAAAACTTTTGTGAAAAGTTTTTAACATGCATATGTCGTGCTAACACGAAAATATTGAAAAAGTAGCATACTTTAACATCTGCTCATTTTCCAGAGTTTTTAATCTTAAATTGTTTATACTATGCTCTCTTTTTTTCTGTTACTATTAATAGCAAGGAAAATACTGCTATGGAGAAAAACCTGGCTTGCTCTCATGTGCAGAATAGAGCAGCAGAGACAAATGTTCACAGGCTAATTTGAAAAAATAAGTAAAATAGGACTTTTTAGAAGGGGGAGCATTTAGTGCTATCTTAACCACTGCTTTTAAATTTATTTCTAGGGGAGCAATGCTCTTAAAACATTGGAAATGAATCCTTGTACCCCCAATAATGTTGAGGTTCTGGAAACTCGAGCAGCTCCTAAAATAGAAGATACAGAAATAATCTCCCCCGTAGCTGAGCGTCCTGAAGAGGGCTGTAATACAGAACCTGAAAACCATGTGGTTGTATCCTATTGCCCTCCAATCATTGAGGAAGAGATACCGAACCCAGTAGTGGATGAAGCAGGAGGGACTTCACAAGTCATTTACATTGATGTGCAGTCCATGTATCAGCCTCAGGCCAAACCAGAGGAAGAGCAAGACATTGACCCTGTGGTGGGGCCAGGCTATAAGCCACAAATGCGCCTCCCCATTAACTCCACTTTAGAAGAGACAGCTGCAGAAGATGACATAGACAAAACTGCAGGTTACAGACCTCAGGCCAATGTAAATACTTGGAATTTGGTTTCTCCAGACTCTCCCAGATCCACAGACAGCAACAGTGAAGTTGTCTCTTTTGGAAGTCCCTGCTCCATCAATTCCCGGCAGTTTTTGATTCCTCCTAAAGATGAAGACTCTCCTAAATCTAATGGAGCAGGGTGGTCCTTCACAAACTTTTTTCAGAACAAACCAAATGATTAAGTGTCACCATGTCTGTCACTTCAGTCTGCCATCTCAAAAAACTCTTACTGCTGGTGTTGCTGCAACAGTCCTGGGTGTTCTGGAGAGGGACCTTGTGAAGTACTGATAGCCGGGAAACTTCACTAATTTGAGTTACACTAGAAGTGTTAGAGCACTTTTAATATAGCCTGAAAGCCAAAGTACATAACTTACAATGTGCAGCCCACAAAACTCAAGATTTGGAACTATTTGTAATCAAGCCAAAGAATTCTCCTTCAAGAAGCATTTCAAGGGCCATACTATCCACATACATGCAAAACAGATGTTTTCTGTTGCTAGTGGTTGGTTTTCTCATGTATGTGCATTATGGAATTCAAGTGGATTTGAAGCCAAGGCAGACAAATGTCATTTAAATATTATATGACAAAAATGTCACATAGTGTTGATTTATCTGACATTTGCTTTGGTCCAGAAGGAAACCAAGCACAGATTTTCAAACATTGAAGATGATTCTCCTCTATCCACATCACTCACAAAAGTTAATTGTTAATTGTTAATGTAGCAACAGCTGTTAGTGTTCTGTTTGATAAAGTGTGCAGATTATTGTGCCTACTGTATAATGGTTATCAAACAGTTGTCTCAGGGGTGCAAACTTGGAAAATGAGTGTGACACTGACCAGCCCAAATCAGAATCACACTTTCTTGCTTTGGTAGGTTTTTCAAATCTTTCCATTTTTTTTGAAGTTTTTATGCTAGCTCCCTTTATTGTAGTTGATTACCCTAATATTTGAAATTTAAATTTCTAGGACTGTAAATCAAAGTTTTTTTAATCCATTTTAATTTGTGATATATCAGCTTTATATGAACAAATTCAGTAGTATTCATGTACAATTCCAGTTATTTACTATGTGAGATGACTACTAAGCAGTATCTAGTGGCTGATGTTAGCTGCCGTATGGAGCTCTGATTGGCTTTAGTTCTTCCTGAGAAGACCATGCCATCAAAACTCCAGTTGCTGATGGTCTTTGACACCTCCTAGCAGGTTTTCACATACGAGATCATAAAAACTATTGGAATCAGTGGAATACAACATCCTCTGCCCATCCTGGCTTCTCATTGGTCATGTCTACAGTGAATATGGTTGTTGGAAAAATAGAATGCGAAACTAAAAATGTATTTTCCTTGCCCTTCCTTGTCTATATATTTTGTCTTTTGATCATTAAGGTGAAAGCACTTGAAAATTTAAACCTTGGAGTAAGTTAAGACAGGCTTGTTTTATATCATATGAAGTTGTATAATGTGTTTTGCAAATAATGGATCAATTTTTTGAGTTTATCAATGTACCTTTTGAAAACTAATGTTGTACTAAAACAAATAATGGATGACAAGGGACAAAATCTATTCAGGTACTCATTGTATGAATTCTGATTTTAACTGCTAGGATTTAAGTAAATCCTGAGCATCATGATATGATATTTACATATATGAAATGAAATATACATAATGTGCATATATAGTATATGAAAGCTATATAATAAATCATAGAAGTTATGAAAATACATGAAAACAGACCAATCCCTAAGTAGAATTTTCTCTTGTCTTCCTTGGTATCCTCTTTGGCTCCTCTTTTTAGCCCCAACCTCACTTCCTCATGCTCTAAGGCAGGGCTGACTCCTCTCTTTACCACGCTTGTCATCCCATGTTCTGCCTTCCCTCAGATCATCTTGTTTCCTTTCAACCCCTGATTTTCTCTCTTTAGTTAAAAAACAAGTGTTGGTTAAGGTAATTGTTTATTGATCTAAACTACACTAATGTGTGAACACAGGAGAGAGTCTGAAGAATCATCCCCATCATCAAGATATATACATTTCACCTATACCCTTTCTAGGCTTTGTGATGAATCCCTGGGGTTCTTGAGTACAAGATTAAACTGTATGAGACAGATTCAGGGAGCTACTCCCACCCTCCCTGCCTCTAGAGTTCCATATCCAAGGATTCCTGAGTTAATGAGAAACAAGGTAACTGCTTGCTGGACAGGGCATGCACACTGTGACTTGGTATTATATAGTTCAGGAGAATGTGGATAGGTCAAAGGCCAAAGCAGATTTCCCTTTCTTCATGCAGTAGAAGATAGCCAGACCCCTGTGCAGAGTTGTTACCTTTACCCCCTTCTCCACCTGTGCATGTACAGGAACCTTGACAGAGAGAGGGAAGAGGGAAAGAGCGCTTTTGTCATTGTCCCCTTGTGTGCACTGTTTTGTCAGTGCAGGGTCCATGCTCGTATGTGCAAGCAAGGTGGCCTAACAGTGGCTACGGTCTGTCTAGTCAGAATAGTGACTTCTTGGAAGGCTTCAGGACTAGTTAGAAGGAAGGCTTACATGTGTTGCCTCCAGCTTTTCTTGACTTGGAAGAAAATGAGGAATCCCTCTTTCCCGATGAAAGCCCTATAGGTTAGACATTTTTAAATGTCTAAACTAGAATTATATTCTATTAGAACTGTATATAGGACACATTTTTATCCCTTTTGTACCCAGTTTCAAATCAGGCTTCCCTTGTGAGAAATGGAAATTATGGAGGTCACCGTAAGATTCTTGATTAGCTATTTCAAGTAATATTTAATATAAAATAGTCTTAAAGACTATTTGATATTAGATAGGCCTTGTGCTTATGTACTGCATGGATTGAAACGCATATGAGGTCTAAGTCCTCAGTCTGTTGAACCTCGAGTCCTGGGTTTGAGACTGTGGCTCTGGGTGTCTGGACAGTCAGTTGTGTGTTTCTGTGCTATGTGATAGAGGTGCTTTGTTCCTGCAGCTGGAAACAGAAGCAGCTATTCATTGAAAAGTTTGAGGGAGGAAGTGTCAGCCTCATTTCCCATACCAGCATTACTTTCATGGCTCATGAATCTGAAGGATTGCATTTAGAACATCTCATACTATTGCTTTCAGAAACTATGGTAAAAAGTCACAGTCTCAAAACTTCATGCAAACTGTAATCTTGTTGAAAATCAATCCGGTAATTTCCTAATGGTCTTCATACTGTCCGTGTTTAAAGAAGTCCTATCTTACAGTCCTTTCTGTGTTTGGATAATTAAGTGTAGTTCAGTGAAAGATAGTACAGAATATTTTTTTCCCCAAGAGAATTTGAAATTAATTTTATGATCATTTGAAACTGTCAATGCTTAAAAAGTGTTAGCTAACGTTTTCTACTGCTCAGGCATACAATTTGCAAACATTTTTCTGTTTGCACTAAGTTTTTGCCATCTTCTCTTTTGAACTATGTTAAATTTTGTATGATTTTAAATGCCTTTTTCTTATTTTGAAAGTGTAAAATTGGGTATCTCACGTAAAATGCAAGGTGAATTGTTCGCTGTTGAGACTAGGCATATAGCAAAAGGGCAATGAATAATTTTGTATTGACTAAGTCCCATCTCATTCTATTGCAAATTCAACAGAATTTTTCTCAAGGAGTAGTATAATGGCACATTCTAATTTGTGTGGATCTGAAACTTTTGGTTCAGAGATTCAAATCTACAGCCAAAAGCAGCTCAGAAAAGATTCATATACACATATCACTAGATGTCTTCATAATTTATAGTTGTTCTTATTTGACGGGTACTCAGTTTGGGACCCAGAATGTGTTCTGACAAAAGACACTGCATATGTGAGCCTAACTGATTAAGTATTCATTCTCTCAATAAAACATTTCTTGGGTGTCATAGCCAACATCTTTGGTATCCAGAAGAGAAAGACTAATGGCCAAACTTACATGACATCCATCTGTACACTTAGTCGTAGAGGATCAGTGGAAATTGCTTGGCTTAAGTTTGGTTTATTTATATCTTCATGGATTATGTCTCAGGGCTTTTAATAATATTTAAGCCTCTTAATGTAACCACTAGGGTGGTTACATTTTTATTCCTTTCCAATTAGTATGATCATGATTGTGTTAATTATAATGAGTTATCTTCAAATGCCGGGGTAAAGGATTGAGAACAACGGTTTTTTGACTATATTGGACCTTATTGAATATGATAGAGTTTGAGGGGTCATTACTTGGTCTAGAATATCTCCACATACTTATGATAGTTGATTGTAAAAGAATTCTATTTCAACCTGAAAAGTATGTATTTCTCCCTGTACTGGAAATGTTAATATTTTGAATTGTAAGTGTCCAATTTTAAACAGAATTTCCATAAGCAAGACAAATTCTGTGCTGAACTTTTATGAAAATTAACAACGGGGTTGGGGGATATCAACTGAATTTTTTTGTGGGGGAGTGGGGTCCGGTCGTGGGGCCTGAACTCTGGGCCTGGGCACTGTCCTTCAGCTCTTCAGCTCAAGGCTAGCGCTCTACCACTTGAGCCACAGCGCCACTTCCGGCTTTTTTCTTTTTGCTTATGTGGTGCTGAGGAATCGAACCCAGGGCCTCAGGCATGCAAGGCAAGCGCTCTAACACTGAGCCACCTTCCCAGCCCCACTGAATGTTTTTAAGAGTAAGTACTTAGCTGAACAACCATAGAAATAATTCATTTGATAATACTTTTATGAATAAATTATAACTAAACATAATGTCATAACTTACATTACCTGTTGGTTGCTGGGATAAAATACCTTAAAAACTAAATAAGATGTGAATGAGAAATAATGTCTGATTGACAAGGAAATTGATTTTTATTACATATATTTTCTAAGATTACCTCTACATTAGCTAATCATAGTTTAAAAGGAAAACTACAAAGGACCTTATACTGCTCTGAATCCTAAAATAACTTGTTTACCAAACTGAATAGCTCACTTAAATCTATTGATTTTATTATACTTTAAAAATATACTTTCCACTAGAATTACTGTATTTTGTAAATGGTCAACCTTCAATATCTGAACAGACTTACTTTTTCTTAAGTGTTCTAATGTTTTGTTACAAAAGATCAAAAGATTTCTAGGCCGGGTGCCAGAGGCTCATCCCTGTAATCCTAGCTCTACTCAGGAGTCTGAGATCTGAGGATTGCGGTTCAGAGCCAGCCCAGGCAGGAAAGTCTGTGAGAGGCTTATCTCCAGTTAGCCACCAGAAAGTCATAAGTGGTGCTGTGGCTCAAGTGCTTGCCTTGAGCTGAAGAGCTGAGGGACAATGCCCAGGCCCAGAATTCAAGCCCCACAACTGACCCAAAAAAAAAAAAAGATTTCTAGGTGGTAATAGAATTTTCATTAAATCGTAAATAAGTTAACTGTTAGATTTAACATTGGTATTAATATTTTTGAAATAGTTCATAGAAAAAATACTAAATTATGATTCTTATAAATTTGTTCTTAATCCAGTTTTATCCAAATGCTTTCCTCCATTTTTTCCTACAGGTTTTGTTTAATTTTCCCTTCCAGCAGATATTTAGGAAAAAATATGAATAGCATAGAAAACATTTTGATAATTGAAGATGAAACCCTTTTCAATTCATTGTCGGTTTTATGTGACATCTTGGGATTTGTTTTCTTCTAATATTTTATTTAAAATGAGCATAGTTTTTTCAGTTCTGAATTGCTTGAAGAAGGTTGTTCTGGACAGAAAAAGACATTTTTATTTGAGATCATGTCACCTAGTAAGATTTTTTTTATACCATTTCTTCTCTCTCACTATCTGGCCACAATTCAAAATTATAACACTTAAGAAATTACCATTTTTATATTCAAAATGACATTTTAGTGAATTACTGTTTACAAAATACACATACTGTGAACAGATAGAAGTTTTTGTCTTTTATAAAGTTTGTAGAATGAGTGTTTTTTAAAAGGTGGTATTCTATTAAATATTTTAGTTTAGTTTTTTAAATATAACTACTAGTTACTGTTTACTAACTTTTGTTTGGTCAGGTGTGTGTAAATGTAGCTGAAAGAAGCAGGGAGAAATGCAGATTCAACACAGTTCCCTTTTCTATTTCTTGAAACATTACCACTACAAACATTTTCTTCTTCACATAAATGATCAGTCAGGATGTGCTGTACTTAAAATCATGCTCAATCATACAAGGAATCACTGAAATATGTGTGTACATGGGAAGCAAACTCTAGATTGAAGAGCGTGATTCACTCTGATTCACAGTATTCTGAGTTTAGTGTGAAATAAAATTCTGTAAGTGCAATCTCTACTCCCAGACACTACAACTGAAGTATTTCCTGCCTTGGGAAAATGTGGATATTCTGTTGCTCTTACAATGGGAAATTTGGATATTTTACATCATTATACAATTTCAGAATTTAGTTTCTATATCTTTTGGGAAAATGTGGCAAAAGACATAGAATACAAATAGTAACCTACTAAGGCATCATAAATATAAAACTAGTATGCTTGGCTGTTAACTATATTACTTATGTCTGTTTTTAAAACATGCATGTATTTAACGATTTTATCATAGTATTGTCATGGAAAAAAATAAATATATTTTCTTACATCTTAACCTCGAAAGTTTGGGCTTTGTTTTTGTCTGTTTTTTTTTTTTGTCTCATATTTTAAGCACTCAGGAAAGTCAGCTTTTGCATTGTGTTCACACTTTTTTATTCTATCTCGTAAGACAGTAGTTCGAAAGCAGTTGTCTAGAATAACAGCTGCATTTTAGTATTTGAGACATTTCTGTGCTTTTGGTACATCCTTCTATCCTCCATTAAATTTGCATTCTATTCACAAGAGAAATTGAGAAAAGTAATCAGATAGAATCCAGAATTAGCAAATGATTAATAAATGCCTATCCTTAAAGTGTGGTCTTTTACTTCATATTCTCCAAAGATAGTCTGGACATTTCTGGAGTCCTTGGGAATGTGTCAAAATGTCACTTCACCTTTCTGAAGTTTGGAACTACATTGACTGATTTAGCAAAATCTCACTTTAAAGTACAAAGTCATCTTAAGCAGAAGTTCATAAAGGGAAAAATGAAATTCTTCATTACAGGCAGCTCTGACTCAACAAGAATAACCAAGATTTAGCCTGTAAAAGAGAAGTTAGCAATTAATTGTGGAACATATGTTAGCATTTAAATACTAGCAGACTTTTTATGATCTGACCTTGGGTACTTTTCAGTACATAATTTGTTTCTCAGATGTGATTTCTTGAGCTCAAAGTGTATACAACCATCAACCTCAGGAACTTTAAAAAAGTCAAAAAGGAGATAATGATGTGGTTTTTAAGAAAAAGAAAAATAGAGATGTAGGAATGAATTTTAATGCATAGTATTCAACATCATACTACGTTAGCTTGCAAACAGATTTACATACTTGAGCTATAGAATTTGTTTTGAGCAACTTACAAATTTGACCCATTTCCCTTCACCTGGAGTTACTGATCTAACAGGAAAAGTGATTTCCAAACATTCATCTTTCCCGAAGTTCAGGGATGACTTCAGGTGATCTGTGTCTAAATCAGAGATGATTTTTATCCTTGAGTGAGTGATTACTCTCAGATTATGCAGACAGGTATTTGAGGAGGCTCTTGACAAAAGTTAGGTGAAAATCATTTTACAATAATGCAACTCCAGTGTATTAACTTCCTATATGGATGTCTGTAAACACTTGAAAAATGAGAAAGATTGTCAAGTTCCAGCTCATACTGAACTCTCCCTCATCAGTCAGCCTATGGGCTCTGCTTGGGAGGATTATACACAGCATACACAACCCTTCATGATGTGCTTCTGTCCTGCTCCATCAGAGACACTTCAGACTTTCTGACCAACACTATAAAGGTATAAATGCCTATCAACCAGTCCAAACACATCTTAGATGTATAGGAGTTGATAGTAAAAGGCCTGCTGCATTACTTCCAGGGGCCATGCCCATGAAGCTGCTGACTAGAGTCTTCCTGTCCCTATTGGGTAACTTCTTCCATCTTTAAGTTGTAGTTGAGCATCATTGGTTCCAAGAAGTCTTTGCCAGAGTCTCAAGTCCGCAGCTCTCTACACCATCCCCTTCTGCGCTTATGCATGGTACAGTGCACGATCTGGCACTTCTCTTTGGAGGCCAGAATAAAAGAGTGCTGTATTCACTATTGCATTCACAAAGCATGACATAGCATCCACCCCAGCTGAGGTGCTTGATAAATAGTCTTTAAATATGTCCTAACAAAAAATCTAAGTAGTTTAATGTGTTTGCCTGGTTGCTAGAAATACTTTGTGCTAGATGATCCATCCTGCA